AGGCAAGTGGTTAACGACGGTGATCTCTAGCAGTCTCCTGTAGAGTGTCACCTCTCTCTGTCTATCTCCTGTGGTGTCTGTTCACTCCCCAAGTACCCATGTTGCATGTCTGCAGTCCCTGATCATCTCCTCTAGCATGTCTGAAGTCTCTGGCAGTCTTCTGTTGTATAGGGAACATTATGAGGTATAATAATATAATTCCCAGAATGGAAACATTTGCTTACCTATACATTACCAGCTATTGTCACCTTCAAAGTAGTCCCCTTGTGAAGCAATGTACTTTTCTAGATGACTCTGCCACTGCCCGAAAAATTCCTGGAATATGTTTTCCGGAACGCTGCGAAGTAACTATGTCGCAGCTCACTGGATGTCCAGAATGTCATCAAATCTGTGTCCTTTTAAGGCATTTTTTAATTTTGCAAATGCCTAAATGTTGCATGGTGGTAAGTCAGGGGAATAAGGTGGTTGGTCAAGTTTTCGAATGGATTTCTGGGCCAGGAATTTGCAAACACCTAAACACATGTGCAGGAGCATTGTCGTGGTGGAGAATCCACTTGTCAGGCCAGAGTTCCAGTCTTTTCCTCCAAACAAATTCTCATAACCTTTTCATTTTCCAAATTTGCATCCACCCTTTGTGTTTTTGGCTGCCCCAACTCTTGCATTATTGTGGACGTCGTCCTGACCCTCCTTAAACCTACCTTGACATTCAAAAACACTTGATTTCTTCATGGAATGTTCACCATAAGCCTGATGTAACAGAGCTAAAGTTTCACTCGAACTTTTTCCAATTTTCATGCCTAATTTAATGTTAATCCACTACTCCAGATTCCTGTCACTTGTTTCCCACCAACAGCTTAACGGACAAATGTGTTATTTCATCTACTACTCCATAAAGACTAAGTCAACAGGTCTGCAACCCAGGAGAGTGCAAGTTAGAACATGTCAGAACACACTCAAATGTGCACACCACCATAGTGTTATGCTGTGGGCATTCCGGGAATTAAATTGTCACACCTCATATGTGCAGCCCTCCACTACTTGTATGTTGACAAGCATTGCTGTAAGGGCTGGTTCACAACTTCAAGCTGCAGGTTGGGCACTGGAGCTTCGGAACATGAATGGATAGATAAAGCAGGGTCTACTTCAAGAGTTATCAGTTCTTGCATATCAGGTGAACCCACTAGTACACAATGTCAGTTAATCTTTGTAGCACTACCCCTTTAGGGATTGCTGATGAATTTGATTTCCCCCCATAGACCTGCACAGCCAGTCATTTAGCATTTTCCACACAGCTTTCATCCACAGACAGAAATCAGGCCATGAGGGTTAGTTTTATTTTATTGAGGGGATTAAACTTGGATAGGGTATAGAATGCCCAAGGGAACCAAAATCTGAGGACAACTTCCTGAACTATTCACGAAGTTGTTTTTTTTTTTTTTTTACAGCGTCTCTGTTTGGGTGCTAGCCAGCAGTTCCAGTTCTACTACCCCAGATCCTAGATGAACTCCTCTTCACCCGGCAATCCGGAGACATTATTCCTGAGCAGGGGATCTGGCTCCTGTCCCTTTAAGTAGATAACAGTCACTAGCAGAGAGCTAATCTGGTTTCCCACCAGAGTGCTCCTTCTCCTATCCGTTCAGGGGGATGCAGGTGTACTCACTCAGATCCTCTCCTGTACCGCTTGTGGAACCTTAGATTGTACACCCCTTGAGGGTTAGGGACTGATGTGAATGTACAATATATATGTAAAGTGCTGCGTAAATTGATGGCGCTATATAAGTACCTGAAATAAATAATAAATAAATGGCGGCTGCTACCAGGCCTATCAGCTGGGCTGCTCCTTTCCTGCTATGCAGGTGGTCCTCTGTCGGAGGGCCAGTGAGTCCTGAGTTTTCCAGCTCCAGGCACGCAGGCAGGCCCCATCCAACTAGGCCTCCTGGCAGCCTTCCTCCTCCAGCCTCACATCTTCCTGCTTCTCACTCCTCTCCCACCACCGCTCTCGTGCTACTGAGCAGTCTCCAACACTTTTTAAGGGAGTCTAGCCCCTTGCCAAGCCATCTGTTGGGGATTGGCTGAGGTCCCTCAAAAGTGCAGCCAACCACTCCTCAGATCAACCCCACTGCCCCCAAGAACCTCCTCTGAAAGCCTCTGAGCAGGGGGAAATTCCGAAGGGGCTGGCCTGCAGAGTCTCTCAGCTTTGACTAGAATTTGACCACTCTGGCTATTTAACCTGAGCTGCTAATCAGCTCCTAACTAACCATTATGTCTAGCTCCTCCTAGCTGAACTAGGAGGGTGCTACATCTTCATGAGCTTGCGTACTTTTACAGTTCTAGATGTAGGAAGCCAAAAACCTCTGACTGGTCAAAGTGTATACCAAAGTGAAGAAGTACATTTTGTTTACCAGGAAGACTAACCCTACTCATGTGATATCTAATCCATCACTTTGCCCATGGAAGCAACTGTGTCGGAATCCCATTAAAGCACAAGAAGATTTTTTCAGAGCTTTATAATCATAATCTCCCATTCCTTTTACTCAAGAAAACTCAAAATAGGTTGGAGATGTTCTTCACCCCTGGATGTAATGCTGTTTCAGCCTAGGAAAAGAACTCCCTCCTACACAATTCTTCTATTTATGCAAACCGTTTTGGCTTCAAAGCTGTTATATTTACATTACTAAATGTATTTTTAATGTCCAGCTCTGGGAATGACAAACAAAATGACGTCATCAAGTACAATCTGATATACTAGACTGCAGTGATGGGGCCTGGGTCAACATGTTTCTTGAGTTGGCCTGGGGTGTCTATTGACACTTCAACTCACCTGTAAGTGTATTGTCAATAATGATCACGTGTTATTGTGTATGTAGTCGTAATTGTGGTACTTATCACTCTTTTAACATGGTACGGTTCTCACAGCTCATGAGGAGATAGGTCAGGTTACTAGACCAGGTTAGATTTTTTTAAGCTCTGTATACATTTAATATATCATTAAATGTATTTTTTAAATACAAGCAGTGTAAGTACCTGAATGTGATCTGGGACTGGGAGAAGGAGAAGCAGTACAAGGATCTAGTCAGTGTACAGCAGGGGTGTCCAAACTTTTTTCAAAGAGGGCCAGATTGGATGAAGTGAACATGGTGGAGAGGGCCGAACATTTTTCCGAACATTCTTTGAACCATTACAATTAAATGCAAATAAATTATTTTCTGCCAAGTTAATTGCAAATGACATACTTTTTATTTCATAACATTAAGATCAACTGACAGCTGAGTTTTTCACAATGTATTCAAAATAAATTTAAAAAAAACTTACCTGCACTAATCTGAAGGGTGAAAAAAGGTAGCTGGAGCTGAAGTCTCTGCTTGGCATTCTCCGGGAGGGGAAGAGAAACACACTTCACGCTGGAAGCCCGGCCCTAACGTCACCGCCCTCTGTTGCTCCCAGCGCGGCGCAGTCACACATGCGCACTGCTGTCAAGCAGAAGACTGTCTGCCACAGAAGGGAGGGCCGTGCGACAGCCGCATTTACACAGACCAGGGAGAACACGCCGCAGTCAGGCATGCGCACTGCCCTCTGCTCTCAAGCAGAAGACTGTCTGCCATAGAAGGGAGGGCCATGGGAGGGCCACATTACACAGAGCAGGGAGGGCTGTTGGAGGGCCGTATTAAACCGACCCCCGGGCCGTAAATGGCCCTCGGGCCGGACTTTGGACATGCCTGGTGTACAGCAATGTTTATGTGCTAAGAAGACACATGCTGTTTGTAGGAGAAAGCAGAGTGACAGAGAGATGAGCCTATAAGTCTTCTGCTTCTTGTTTCACTGTCCAATCACAGGCTGGGGGAGGAAAAAGATACCAGGGGTTGCTTAACTGCAGCAGAGTAAAATCTCCTGCCCTGCCAAGTAAGGTTTTGCTGTGTTGTAGAGCTGGATGGACAGAAATACAAATCTTGTGACTGGTCAAAAACCGCTCACATTTATGTATTCCATTCTTGTATTATACCCATGCCTTGCCTCTATTCTCACCTAGGCGAGACTAATGTTTCAGTCTCCTGAGATACCAGTGCATATCCTGGGGCACAATAAACTGGTTGTAAAGCTTCGTAGGAGCAAAAAATGGCGGAAATTCCAATATCTATACCACCATTTGTAGATGCCATAACGTTCACACACACAATTAATATACACCTATTGAGATTTTTTTTTTTACCAATGACATATAGTTAAAAATACATTTTGGCCTAAATTTATGATGAAATTTGAGTTTATTGGGTATTTTTTAGGATTTTAGAAATGAGAAAATATTGTTTAGGATATTTTTTTTTATTTTTATAGCGCAAAAAAAAAAAAACCCAGAGGTGATCAAATACCATCAAAAGAAAGCTCTATTTGTGTGAAAAAAGGACATAAATTGCATTTATGTATAGTATTGCATGACCGCACAATCATCAGTTAAACTATTGCAGCGCCGTATAGCACAAAATGGCGTAAATTCCGCACAAACCAATTAATATACACCTATTGAGATTTTTTTTTACCAAAGACATATAGCAAAATACATTTTAGCCTAAATTTATGACGAAATTTGAGTTTATTTGACATTTTTTTATAACCAAAAGTAAAAAAAATAGTTTTTTCTTTTAATTTTTTTTTGTTTATAGCGTAAAAAAACAGTGGAAAAAACAACCCAGAAGTGATCAAATACCACCAAAAGAAAGCTCTATTTGTGTTAAAAAAAATGACATAAATTTAGTTTGGGTGCAGCATTGCATGACCGTACAATTACCAGTTGATATAGCGCAGTGCCGTAATGCAAAAAATGGCCTAGCCAGGAAGGGGGGTAAATAATCTGGAGGTCAACTTGTTAAAGCTGAGTTCACCTTAATGGATTGTGTGGAGATATTCCTTCTAAATTCTATCATTTCCCTTGTGACAACTGATTTCTCGCTATGACTATAATTTTCATTGACAAGGGTTACGGTAATTGTCTTTGTTTTCCTCAGGGAAATGTTACAAGCATCTATATATGAAAGAAGAAATGCAATTGCAGACCTGGAAAGGAAACTGAGTAGTGTGGATGATGAAGGTGAGAGATGGCCTTGTATTAAAAACAGCTGATAGAGGAAATAATTAGGATGGTTTCCGTATTAAAGACACCAACAAAAGACAGAACAGTTCAACCTTCTGGCTGGAAAATGGTGAATTCTTTGTATGTCTTGTTATATTAGGCAGGAGTGGATGTCTGTAGGGGATGGGGGGGGGGGGTGTCTTTATATTTATAGATTAGGAGACAGCCGGACAGATTGGGGTAGGGAGTTCCATAGGATGGGAGAAGCTCGGGAGAAGTCCTGGAGGCAAGCTTGGGATGAGGTGACACAGGATCTAGAGAGCAGAAGTTCTTAGGAGGATCGAAGAGAGCATTTTGGTTGATAATTTGAGACCAGGTTGGTGATGTAGCTGGGGGCAGAGTTGTGGATGGCTTTGTAAGTTGTTAGTATTTTGAATTTTATTCATTTGGGTGAGTGGTAGCCAGTGGAGGTATTGGCATAGAGGGGTTCAGAAAATCCACAGGATAAATGGATAAGGCAACAAAACATTTAGAGCTCTGCTATGGTACATTGAGGTCCTCCCTGAGATAGTCGAAGGGATTCAGATCTTCCATTAGAGGGAATTTCCACCTACGAATTTTCCAAGAATCAAATCTGGTGGCAGTCAAGCTTGATGAATGTAAACACACGTTAACGTTAGGCATGCCAAACACTTGAGCGTTAATTCATTTCAATGGCCAGAATGAATTGTAATTTGGCCCTCAAGTCAATGAATTAACGCCTATGTGCTAGACCCTCATAAATGTGTTTACTTGTATCAAGCATTTGTTTCTGGCAAAACACTTCTGCCAGGAAGAAAGGAGTTTAGGAGAGCTGGGCAAATGCCCCGTGTGCATGGGGCCAAAGTGGCCATGCGGGGCTTGGTCCACCACTGTCACCATCAAGAATCCTACCCTAAAACATTCATACAGCCAGCGTTGGAGTCCTTGCACATACATAGGAAAAGGCTGCAGAAGATCAGCAGCACTGAGATTGCAAAAAAGATGCAAAATTGAAAACAATGTAACCTAAAAGAAAAATAACATGGAAATTGTTTATGATACACAGTGCTTTAACGGTGTACATGTCTTCCAGTTAGTTCCAATGCATAAAGAAAGAATACTGCTTCCACTAGGATAACAATTTAGATGCTCAAGATTTCAGATTTTCATCCAGGCATTCAAGTGGAACTAAACCCCCATATTGTTTACAGCCAAGGAAGCTGTCATCCTAATTCTGTCTGATCTGCAGCCACCATGGTGCTGCTCATGTGATCACGTAGGACACCAGCCATTTGATGGCTTGACAGTTCATTTGAGAGCAAAAGCAACTATGACAGTTATCATCATGGCATGCCTTGAATGTAACTGTTTGGGAAACCGCTAAATCAATGGGTTTAATAGTGCTCTAATGTAGTATACGTCCATCTAGCTCCTTTTGTCAGTGATCTATTTATCTGAGAATCCATTTTTTTCTCCATTTGTTATGTAGGAAAGTACTATTCACACATGCCAACTGTGTGTTCCTTGCTGTCTCTTACAGGACTTTATCAAAGTGCTGGCACCTTGAAGTTTCTCATGGCCACCAATTAGAGTTAATCCTGCCTTAAAGTGGTTCTTAAGGCAAAAAGTTTTTGTTTTCTCTTAATGCATTCTCTACAATAAGGTAAAAGACCTTCATGTGTCTGTGCCACCCCCCTACCCCAAACTCCTGACACCACTCTCTATCTAGTGATGTCCCACCGACAGCTCCGCTCTCCTCTCTTCCTGCATTCTCGGGCTTTATTGAGAGCAGCCGGAGTCATTGGATCCTGCTGTTGGAAGTCAAATCATATGAGGAGGAAGTGGGGTGGGCCTGAGTTATGCTGTGTGTGTCTTTGGCCACGCACATCCCGGCTCAGGAACATGCCCGCAGGTGTACCACCATAGGAAGTGGATTCCTATGGTGTCACACTGAGAAGAGGAGGAGCTAAGAGCCCTGGTGGGGGACCCCAGAATAGGAGGTTCGGGGCCTCTCTGTGCAATTCAATCACTTTAAGAATTTTTTGTCTTGATGATGATATATCAGGCAGTATAGGGAGGTAGTTACACATTCTAGGGTTTCAGGTAGCAGACCCAGCTACTGCACGACGAGCTTTGGGAATTCTAGCCACAGATTTTAGCACGGTTGTTTGTTTACTAGAGAGAATTTAGCAGTTTGACCATTGACCCCTCCATGTCACCTCTTAGTGGCCCTTTAAGTGGGCTTTGATGTCCAGGAGGCAGCAAGCCTTCTCTATAATGGGGCCACTAAGATTAGCTCTCACAACGGTCTCCTGATCAGAAGACGTGACTGAGAGCTGCCGTGACAGCTCGGTCAGTGCACTGGGATCGCACAGTGAGTGTGCTCCCAGCACACAACCTTATGCTACCATCGATATGTGAAACAGCTGGGCATTAAATCCCACTCCACCTACCACCGCATATATGCGTTACATTGTTGGCAAGAGGTTACTGACTACAAATGCTCTTTAAAAAAGCACCTGAATTATAAATGCCCCTTTTACCTTCCTATTTCCATCTGTCTTTCCTGCATCAGTCCAAATATCATGCTTTGTCCAATTTCTATAAGTCTGATGGCTGGTACCTTTTCTGCTATGATGGCCATACATGCTTTGATCTCTTTTTTATTTATCCAATTAAAAGTGGGATTCTATCAAAACAATGGAATCTGCAAATCATTCTATGAATAGCCATTACTTCCCTTCTGATTGATTTAGACTCAATAAGATTCCATCAAACTGGGTCAATCAACCAGGGTGGAAAATTATCAATTGTGTTTCATCAGTCAGGAGCACTGAGATGCTTTTTTCATTAATACAATGGTATTTTGATTAATTAGATTATGCTATTACATGGTGGAAATAGAGAAGAAATTGATGACTTACAATCAAAAGAACCAATCATATTTTAAAGAGTTAATTCTCCTTGAAGCACTTACTGACCACCTGCCCGCACTGTACTGCAGGCAAGCAGCAGCTGTAGAAAAAGGTGGTGTAATGGTACGTTACCACTTACTTCCGGGTTTAGGGTGCACACATGCGGGAGCTTGTCAGCTAGTCCCGGCTAATGATTCCTCCAAGGACCTGCTAATCGACTGTGTGCAATCACAGCCCAGTGTTCTGCAGGCATGAGAAACTGAGATCAGTTAGTAAAAGCAGCACACTATATACACATTACATATAATTAGGCACATATCTAACCCTTAATTGCCCTTGATGTTAACCACTTCCCAGCCAGTGTCATTAGTACAGTGACCGTGTATAAATCACTAATCACTGTATTAATGTCACTGGTGACGTCAGTGTCAATTAGTCAGTTTCCCCCCATGTTAGTGTCAGATTGCCTGCCTGTATCGAAGACCTGTTATAAGTCGCTGATCACCGTCATTAGTAGTATACAAAAAATTATAAAATAAAAACTCTAGTATTTTATGCCATAGTTTTGTAGGCACTATAACTTTCATGCAAACCAATCAATATACACAGAACACATTTTGCCCATAATTTATGAAGAAATTAGATTTTTCGTTTGGGTACAGCATTGCATGTTTTCCCGAGCTCAAGTAGTTAAAGAGGGCAAGTGGTTAATAGGTTTACTTCATGGATAGGAAAACAATAATATGATATTAAATATTACAATGTCATGTAATGTTACTAATCAAAGTACAAGAGTTATACACCAGCGGTCCAGCAGTTGGGAGACTTTTAAAATCCCCCAGTGGTGTGTCCCCTGTTCTCCATCAGCACTGTTGGGACAGGCAAATTGATTTTGATTGGGACACCTTCTGTTTCCACCGTCTCTGTACGGCAGAGAGCGGGGGGGGTCCAGTGTGTAAGTTAGCCTTTAGCATTTTTTAAGTCTGAGCTTTCAAGCCCCACTAACCTTTCCAGACATTGATATAAAATCCCCGCTGTTCTCCATCAGCACTGTCGGGACAGGCAAATTGATTTTGATTGGTCAGCACCGTCTCTGTACGGCAGAGAGAGGGGGTCCAGTGTTAGTTCACCCATTTTTCTGAACTAACCTTTTGACTATTGATATAAATCCACATCCCTGTGTGTGGCATATCGATCAAATGGGTTGTTGTTTATAGATTGATTGCGCCTATCAGAAAAGATCGATCAGGAAATAAATCAGTCATTTATCAAAGTGCGCATGGCCACCACTAGACCCATAGGAAATGATCAATCTATTGTTTTATACAATGGCCCCAACAGTATTCCTAAACTATGTTATATACAGCGTAGAATGTTTGTATTGTAAATTAATTGAAAGAAGGTAATTTTCTAGGTCAGCAACGTAATTTTATGCAATATATAATTTTTTAGATACGTTATATATATTATTTTTTTATATCCATAGCATTATGTTCCACCACTGACTACAGACTGGTTTTAAAAGTTTTATAATATGTTTGATGCTTGGCAAAATGCACTTTTATGATTCCCAACATATGGTTATATACAAACTAATGGAAAGGCTTTTCACAATCCCCAGGAGTCCACAGCAATGACTAGACAGGTCTTCACTCTACTAAATATTTAAGTGCCTAAGAACAAGTGTTGAAAACTGACTTCAGCTCCATTAAGAACCTGAGTATTATGCAGAGAATTGTAAAACCTCTTTCCTTTCTAGAACTCTGAAAAGGACCAACTTATTTGTCAAGGTTATCATTGGCAAAGAATTAGCAGCTCACTATTTAATGATGTGCATGGATCTACCAATGAGAATATAGCTTTCATTAGTCTGACTGTCTCTGTTCAGTTTTATTGAGCTGTATACTACATTATAACACTTTTTTGGAATTGTGTGTGCCATCTTTTGTCAATTATTACTAAAGGAGTGTATTTATAAAAACTTTGTAGAGCTGTGAAACAGCATATACATTCGTTCTGTGTGAATGGGGACAAAACCAAATGTTATTAAGCAATTTTTTTCTCAAGGTTGAATGTTTTTCATTCATATAGATAATGATGATAATAATAATAATAAAAAAGTAATGGTCATAATACAGTGCTTTCCTGATTCACTTTATTTTGTATAAATAATAAGATTCAACCAAAAGAGAAAATCGCCTAATAACATTTGTCTTGCCCCCATTCTCCCAGAACGAATGTACATGCCGTTTCACAGGAAAAAAACAGCTCTGCAGATTTTTTTTTTTTTTAATTAAGTGTATATTCTGTATACCAGTTTTTTAAAAAGTGTATGATTATTATTATTATTACACAGTATTTATAAAGCGCCAATAGTTCGCTCAGCGCTGTACATTACAAAGGGGGACAGAACATGTGACAGAACAATACCAATACAATGCAAAACATGAGGGGATTGAGGGCCCTGCTCTTTCGAGCTTACAATCTAGGAGGATGCTGAAGCAGGAGTAATTGACTCTTCCCTAAAGGTACACATTATACCATTTATTGCTGAAAATATGCATTTAGTCCAGTAATAAATATTACCCATTGTATCCCATAAGTGCTGATTTATTAGGCATGTGCTTTGGTCCCCATGCACTCAACAGTCAGCTTTTAACACAACCCTTCCTTTTCTGCATGTATTTCTTGCTAATCACACTAATGGGGACGTTTATAAAGGAACATACATTCCACATTAATAATTATGCTACTAAAATTGTGCATGCTGTAAATTGCATCCAGCATTGTTCCTGTTTCTTCATGCTGGAGGCTGTCATTTTGTTGAAGCACAGAACCCCTGGGCAGCATTAAATCTTTAGGCTGTCAGCAGATTGGCCTCTACAAATTCAGCACAGTGCAGAAAAATAGAGAGCAACTGAGCATGTGCAGAGCAGGGTGAGACAGTGTATTACTGGATTTTAAACATTATAGGCAATTATCTTTAATGTTGTACATAGCTTTATGTCTTCAATGTTTTACATAATTATACCTGTTAAAGGGGCCAGCATGATGTGATCTAGCAGGACTTAATTTTCTGACTATTGTAATTGCAGCACCCAGCATTTTATTTACTAGTTTGTCTGCTTTAAAAATATATATAATGTTTGGGGGTTCAAAGTAATTTCCTAGCAAAAAGTACAGATTTTTTTTCATGTGAACAAAAAGTGTCAGAAAAGGCTTGGTCTTCAGGTGGTTAGAAGAGTGAGTGATGTGTGGCATAAACTTCTAATGCTGGGCATAAAGCGCCCCACCCCTTAAATTACCGCTTTTTGAAATGTAGAATTTTTTTTTTTTAGTTTTTGGAAAATGAGAAATCAATAACTCCTAGATTGTAAACTCAGAGGAGCAGGGCCCTCCTATCCCTCTTGTATTGAACTGTAGTGTTGCTGTATTCTCTCCCGTTATATTGTAAAGCGCTGAGCAAACTGTTGGCGCTATATAAATCCTGTATAATAATAATAAAAAATAAATAAATGTTTTGCACAAAATTGTCACTTAAATGATTTATTGCTCACACATGCCATTGGTATATGTGGAATTACTCCCCAAAATACATTCTTTTACTTTTCCCAAGTATGGGAATACCACATTTGAGAGACTTTTTGGCAGTCTAGCCAAGTACAGGACCCCAAAATCCAATAAGCACCTTCAGACTTTTAAAGGGCTTTATTTCCTCATTACACTTCCTGACAACTTATCACAGTTTCTGAGACCCTGAAATGCCAGAATAGTATGAAACCCCCAAAAATTACCACTTTTTTGGAAAGTAGACACCTCAAGTAATTTGATAAAAAGCATGGTGAGTATTTTTCAGATCTCGTTTGTTGCCACAAGTTTTTGAAAAATGAAGAAAGAAAAGAAACTTATTTTTTCTTTTTTTTTATTTTCGCAACCTTGTGTGGAAAAATGAGATCTGTAAAATGCCTCTTTTTAAATTCCTTGGGGTGTCTACTTTCCAAAAAGGGGTAATTTTGGGGGGTTTGGTGCTATCCTGGCATTTCAAGGCCTCCGAAACTGTGATAGGTAGTGAGGAAGTGAAATGAGGAAGTTACACACCTTCAGGCTTTCAAAGTGGTCACTGGATTTCAGGCTCCTGTATGTGGCTAGGCTCCCAAAAAGTCTCACACATGTGATATCCCCATACTCGTTAGAAGTAGCAGAATGTATTTTGGGGTGTAATTCCACATATACCCATGGCTTGTGTGAACAATATATCATTTTAGTGACAACGTTGTGTAAGAAAGAAAAAAAAAAATGTTTTTGTCATTTTCCAAAAACTTGTAGAAAAAAAAAAAATCTTCCATGGACTCAATATCCCTCTCAGCAGATAACTTAGGGTGTCAAGTTTCCAAAAAGGGGTCATTTGGGGGGGTGTTTGTACTATCCTGGTATTTTAGCACCTCAAGAAATGTGATAGGCAGTGAGAAAGTAAAAGCTGTGAAAATTCTATTATCTATACCATAGTTTGTAGATGCTATAACTTTCACACAAAGCAATCAATATACACTTATTGGGATTTGTTTTACCAAAAACATAGCAGAATACATTTGAGTTTTTTGGATATTTTTTATGACAGAAATGAGAAAATATTGTTTTTTTTCAAAATGTTCAGTCTTTTTTTGTTTATAGCACGAAAAAATAAAAAGTGCACAGGTGATCAAATGCCACCAAAATAAAGCTCTATTTGTGTGAACGAAAGGACAGAAATTTTGTTTGCATACAGCTTTGCATGACTGCACAATTTTCAATTAAACTAGTGCAATGCTGTATAGCAAAAAATTGTGTAAATTGCAGTATCTATACCAGGGGTGGGCAAACTTTTTGATTTGAGGGCCGCAATGGGTTCATATATTGGACCGGGGGCCGGACTAGCTGCTGGCCGGCCCAGCCACTACCATGCTATCCATAGTAAGTATTGTAATATTCCCCCATAGTAAGCATAGTAATTAATCCCCCATATAGTAATTCATCCCCCATAGTAATTCATCCCCCATAGTAATTCATCCCCCATATAGTAATTCATCCCCCATATAGTAATTCATCCCCCATAGTAATTCATCCCCCATAGTAATTCACCCCCCATATAGTAATTCATCCCCCATAGTAATTCATCCCCCATATAGTAATTCATCCCCCATATAGTAATTAATCCCCCATATAGTAATTCATCCCCCATAGTAATTCATCCCCCATATAGTAATTCATCCCCCATAGTAATTCATCCCCCATATAGTAATTCATCCCCCATAGTAATTCATCCCCCATATAGTAATTCATCTCCCATATAGTAATTCATCCCCCATAGTAATTCATCCCCCCTATAGTAATTCATTCCCCATATTGTGTCAATTCACTTACCTTTGCTCCGCGTGTTCCTCTCGCCGTGTTCCCGCGCCGTTCCGGTCTTCAGGGCGGACTGTGAGAGGAGAGGAGTTCGTCACGCTGCCCCGCCTACATCCTGACAGCCAATGTTTGCCACGCTCCGCGGGCCGGAATAAAAGGTCCGCCGGGCCGTAGTTTGCCCATTGCTGATCTATACCATAGTTTGTAGACGCTATAACTTTAACATAAAGCAATCAATATACAATTTTTGGGATTTTTTTTTACCAAAAACATGTATCAGAATACATTTTGGCCTACATTTATGACTAACTTTGAGTTTACTATATATTTTTTATAGCCGAAAGTAAAAAAATATAGTTTTTTTCAAAATGTTCGGTCTTTTTTTGCTTATAGCACAAAAAATAAAAACCGCACAGATGATAAAATGCCACCGAAAGAAAGCTCTATTTGTGTGAAGAAAAGGACGTAAATTTAGTTTGGGTACAGCATTGCATGACCATGCAATTACCAGTTGAAATAGTGCAGCGCCGAATAGCAAAAAAAGGCCTGGTCTGAAAGGGGGGTAAATCCTCTGGAGGGCAAGTGGTTAAAGTAGTGCAGTGTCATATAGCATAAAATGGCCTGGTGATGAAGGGGGTAAAACCATCTGAAGCTGAAGTGCCTAATGTGTGTTCTTGATGTCTACTGTATGTGTGTATAAGTAAAATGTTTTATGTATTTGTAGAAAGCCATGGCTAAATAAGAAAACGTGGTTTCCAAAACTTGCACCCAAAACGTATTCATGTAGCCATTGAAAGGTAGTAAAATGTAGTAAATGCTTTGCACTCAGTCCTGAGTTTCAAAATGTATTCATACAAAAGCAAACTGCAAACACAGAGCATCCAGTAATGTGTTTCATCCCCTTAGGGCCTTAATCATAGTTTTAATTAAAGCCTCATAGGGCTGAAATGCAATCGAGGACTCCCTGTATTTGACTCAATAAACTTTGGAACTTGGGACTGAGTGCAGAACATTCACTACATTTGTCTCTGAACAGTATACGAAAGCCTTCTCTTGCAACAGTGTTTCCTGCAGAATTATAGACTGATAGGATTGAGCAGAAATGCATTTTGTTAATATATTAGCCAATTATTATTATTATTATACAGGACTTATATAGCACCGACAGTTTGCTCTGCGCTTTAAAAGTATCTCCTACATTTTTATTTTCCTACTGTTACATACAGGGGCGGACTGACAACTCATGGGGCCCCCGGGCAATAGGGGATCATGGGGCCCCTGTGTCCTTGCCCAAACTCAAAAAAAAACCTATGAAAAAGGTACCAGGGGCATCTTATGGGGCCCCCTACTGACCCTGGGCCCTCGGGCAGTGCCCGAGTTTCCAAATGGTCAGTCCGCCCCTGGTTACATATGGCTAACACAGTACAACACATTATTGCTTTCTTTATGGCTGAAATTTTCTTTTTTTTGTTTCAGGCAATGAATGGAAAACAAGGTATGAGACACAGATTGAATTTAACAGACAACTAGAACGGCAAATTCGTATGCTTCAAGAAAAATCTGAGCACATACGAGGCAATCCAACAGGTATGTTCCCTGAATATACACTCACCGGCCACTTTATTAGGTACACCTGTTCAATTGCTTGGTAAAACTAATTGCTAATCAGCCAATCACATGGCAGCAACTCAATGCATTTAGGCATGTAGACGTGGTGATGATGACTTGCTAAAGTTCAAACCGAGCGTCAGAATGGGGAAGAAAGGGGATTTAAGTGACTTTGAACATGGCATTGTTCTTGATGCCAGACAGGCTGGTTTGAGTATTTCAAAATCTGCTGATCTACTGGGATTTTCACACATAACCATCTCTTGGGTTTACAGAGAATGGTCTAAAAAAGAGTAAATATCCAGTGAGTGGCAGTTTGTGGATGAAAATGCCTTGTTGATGTCAGAGGTCAGAGAAAAAATGGGTAGACTGGTTGCTGCGACATTCAGATGGTAGGGTCAGAATTTGGTGTAAACAGCATGAAACCACCACCACCTGCCTTGTCTCAACAGTTCAGGCTGGTGGTGGTGGTGGTGGTGGTGTTGGTGGTGTAATGCTGTGGGGAATATTTTCTTGGCACTAGCAAGGTGTACCTAATAAAGTGGCCAGTGAGTGTAAATGAAGTGGTAGTGATGACACTGTTATCAGAAGGAATTGTAGATGGATGCATCCTGGAGGCACATTTAATGAGGAATAAATTGAGATTTACTGTGTAGATTTATTTATTATTTATTTCAGGTACTTATATAGCGCCGTCCATTTATGCAGCGCTTTACATATATATTGTACATTCACATCAGTCCCTAACCCTCAAGGGGCATACAATCTAAGGTCCCTAACTTGTATTCATACATACTAGGGACAATTTAGACAGGAGCCAATTAACCTACCAGCATGTCTTTGGAGTGTAGGAGGGAAACCGGAGTACCCGGAGAAAAACCCGTGCAGGCACAGGGAGAACATGCAAACTCCAGGCAGGTGGTGTCGTGGCTGGGATTCGAACCAACGACCCTAGTACTGCCAGGCGGAAGTACTAACCATTTAGCTACTGTGCTGCCCATAGTGTAGATCATTAAAAGGCTGTTAAATGCCAAAGTGTGTACAATTATTAAAAATGTATATAAATAAAGTATAAAACCTGGTTATGATCAGGGTATCCTCTACATATTAGTAGTAGAATAAGGGTTTACTGTACACCTGTTGTACCCCAAGGAATGTTCCTGTTGGTTTGAGAGGCTACCCTTCATAATGATCTGTGAATATGAACATCTTGGAGGTAGGTGCATTGATTGACCAAGAAGTGTGGAACTTTGTAGATTACAGGGCTACCAGACTGCAGAAGAGAGCAATTAACTATGTGTGCATGCACTAGATCAGCCTTTCTCAGCCTTTCCAACACAGAGGAACCCTTGAAATAACTTTCCGATATCAGGCGAGTACATCCTACCGAACCAATTTGTCTAGTATTTCCCCATCGGACTTTAAAGTCCCTCCCATAATGCGCAAGGTTTTCAATTAGGTATATATATCGCTTCTCCAAGAAACTCACTTCTCCTGCACATCGGCACCTAAATTTCTTACTGCAAGATATCCAACATTCTATGTGTCGAATAGCCCAGATAAAAAGAGGGGGGAGTAGTGATGTGCCTAGCTAAAAAGGTTCCCTTTATCCCCAATGTTGTTATCAGAGGCAAAGAGGGTCGATATATATTGGCGGCAGGGAAAATTAACGAACATGCTGTTACATTTATATCCTACTATGCACCCAACTCGGGTCAAGTACTTTTCTTTAACAAGATGCTTGAGGTTCTGATGCCTCATGTGGTGGGCCATGTAATCATAGGTGGGGACACCAACACACCCCTAGATCAGACTCTAGACAAATCAAACCCCTATAAGGCGACTCTGAAACACATCCCAAACCAGGGGGTCTTCCTGGCTCACCTACTACATTCTTTTGACCTAGTGGAGGTATAACGTGACAACAGTCCCACAACCAGAGACTACACATATTACTCACATGTACATAAACCTTACTCCAGGATCGACCATGTGTTCACATTGTCTCCTCTATTACCTTTCATTAAATCAGCCAAATATTATCCACCACATGGTCAGATCGCTCCGTGGTTCAGATACTGATTTCTGAGTTGTGGACAAAGCCCAGACACTCAGAATGGTGTTTAAATGCATCATTATTAAATGACCCTGTTATTTTCTGGGAAGTGGAAGCGGCCATTCATCAGTATTTTCTGGACAATGTATATATGATATGATGTGTGGCTTTGTCCATTTTTTTGGATCACTCTTTTGTATGGTGATTTGTCAACAATAAAATTTTTTCATGTGCAGCAATCCAATTTTCTTTTTTCTATATATGGCCTTTGGGAGGGCCTGATTGCTATGCACTGTGATTGATCACCGTTGTGCACCCCACCTATAGAAATATATATATATATATATATATATATATATATATATTATATATATATATATATATTTAGGAAACCTTAAAGTGGTCCTCCCACTGTTTTGGCAGGGAGCAGTCCACGTTGACAATAAAGGATAAGTTTACTTGGATAAAATTCATTAGGAGCATGTTACGCATTACACCTATATTTAGAGCGTAATGTGTAACATGCTCCAGGTCTGGCCCCTTCGAACACTGCCAGCGGTTGGGGATTCTCTCTTCGCACCTGCTGACACTTTTCAAAAACAGCGTGCCTGTGGGGGGCTACTCCCACGCAGCTGCCTCATTAATCTCTGAATAAATGAACTACAAGTCCCATCTTATACTGCGGCATACAGCTTGTAGTTCTCAATAAACTGCAAGGACGCTGTTGAGAGCCTTTTTTAGTTCATTGACACTTATTCCAGGTATGGACAGGAGGTACGGACAGGTTAGCTGGAGACCATTCCTGCAGGAGTCTGCAGGAGTCCCAAAATCTTCTGATCATGAGTGCAATGGTCTGCAGGCTCATCAGGAAAAAAAAATAATAAATACACTTTTTTTTTCCTGCAAAAATGTGTATTTATTATTTTTTTCTTAAAGGTCAATTTAGCCTTTAATAAAACCACATTAGAAATTCCTCCTGTTGCGTGCACGTGCTGTCTGCCTAATACTATGCATACTTTTTCATTGGACTGCATCTGGGCCCAAAAACCCTACAAGCATGTGCAGTAGCCCACTTTTATTATTTTTATATATATATATATATATATATATATATATATATATATATATATATATATTTTTTTTTTTTTTTTTTTTTTTTTTTTTTAATTCCAACCTTTATTCCCCTCAGTATCTTCAGCCTGGAAAGGCTGCATCGGATTGATCAGATATAGTATGTTGTGGACACTGAAAGGACCAGACATATGGCTAGACAGTAGTCTATGGACCATATAGTTGCCCTGGCCCAAGGATCCTCTGGCTGTAGTCTTGACTGTGTAGTAGATTTTTATTCATATATATTTATTTAAAAGGCAGTCTTTACTGTTTTTTTTTATTTTGCTGTAAAAATTAAAGAGTGTAGCAGTGCATTTGTTGCTATAGGTCATGCTAGATCTTATTTATTGATTGATTTTTGTTTTCTTTAAGAAAATGAAATAGAATATCTGAGTGGTTACTATGGTCATTGATTCCACTTCTCTTCTCACCCTCTCATTAAGTTTTTATATATTCAGAGTGTGGTGGTGTTGTCTGGGCCAGTCGTGAAAATCCTGAAAATATCCTACATTTTAGTCATATGTCATATGTTTTATCTGTTTTAGATCGTCTGTCATCCATTCGTTCCTATGACCAAATGCCTGAAGTAAGTAAGCTGAATTCCTTGTAGACAGAAAAAAATGAATTCAACATTTTATCCAATAATACATAATTTCAATGTATTTTAAAGCACCTGTATTTGACCTACTATCAGCCTTTTTGCACTCCCTGTACAGCAGACTCAGGTAGAGTCAGTCAGTCAGTAGTAAAAGTACTGGTTAGTAGTTCTTCAATACACCTGTGCTAACTGGGGGAATGCTGATAGGAGGAGAGAGCAGTGTGACAAAGAGATTAGCTCATCAGTCCATTTCTTTATATTTCACTATCCAATCACATGCTGGGGGAGGGGCACAAGCTGTAAGTATTACTTAAAGTGTTGCTAAACCCACAACAGTAAAATCAGTCTGTATATACATAAAGCATGCTTATCATACTCACTGTGGAACCTAAGGGGATAATCCTCCGCTTTGTGTAAAAAGGATGTTTGATCCTGTCTTCTCTGATCCTCCCCTTCTTCTACAGTCTCCAATCCATCTGCTGATAGAACAGAGCCCTGGGGCAAGCTGCACATGTTCAGTTTAGTGTGTATTGCTAGAGAGTTTTTTCGACATTTGTGTGCTGTTGTAGGTGACCTCATTCTAGAAATGCTAGTTGCCTGGCTGTTGTGACTACACTACCTCCTGAGGGCTGACTTAGCAGAGATAGCATAATAATAATAAATATTAAATAATAGTAATATTATTATTTAATAGTCATTATTATTAGTATTATGCATAGCATAGAAGTCATTCAAATCAGTTTTGACTTTATTGGCATGCTTCTTAAAAGGTTAGAAACTATGAAAGCCAATGGATCAGCATTATGGACACTCAACTAGCATTTTTTAGAAGGAGGTCAGCATTACACATACAATATCTTTTCCAACAAGTTCTCTGCATGAGGTTGCAATGTGTTTTTTTTTTTTTTTTTTGCAGACTAGTGCTGTGTTTGCACATTAAGGGTTTGTGTAGGGCTTGGTCCATTGTGTTGTTTACGTTGGGCTGATTCCAGCACAATCAGGGCCCACCACCCACAGCTTCATAGGATAACTGAAACTCATGAGCTGCCAATCCACAGTGCGCATGTGCACCTGGCTGTTTAGCCCAGTACCTGTCCTATTCTAGTGCTTTGCAAAACAACCAGAGGGCCACTTGGTGTAGACGGAGCTCAGTCTACTAAAAGATGCATGACTTGACAACGGACAAGTAATGCTTCATTTGCCTCATCTGTTCACAGCTGCAGCTTTCAGTTATGTTAAAATCATTCACTTCATAAATCAACAGAATTTTAAAGCAAGGTTTGAAACATATTTTAACTCATGTTGACTTTCTGAAGCTTTAGTGTAGAAACCATATGTGGACACTAGGGGGGCATCTCCACCTCTCAGAGCTGTTTTTTTTATAGATTCAAAACATTTAGTTTTTTATGCACTTTTATAATTATTATTATTTTAATTATTTTTATTAAATTATTTTTTTTTTATTATTATTATTAAACATTTATTTTTATTTAAAATAATAATATTAATTTATACGTTATTTGTGTTATTATTTAATGATCCGTGTTATTGTACTCAGTAGTAATTTTTAATAATATTATTATTGCTACTATATATATTATTTATTGATATTAATAATCATCATTATAATTTTTTATTATTCATTATCAATGATTATAATACACTTTGTTATTTTTATTTAATAATAATACATTTTTATTATTTGTTAATATGTATTATTTTGATTGATTTAATAACTATTACTGTTTAATAATAGGAAAAAATCATTTTTTATTATTATTCATAAACAAGAGGGTTATGAAGTCTCTTTTTGTGAGATCTTAGTCTAAAGCAGGGGTCTCCAAACCTTTTAGTAAGGGCTTCACCTTTGGCATCCAGAAGTGCCAATTGGAGATGCCCTGTACATCCATATGTGACAGAGCACACAGGTATGCAATATATATACTTACATAAGTCCAAGATGGACCAATGTAACCATGCAGTAAAACGTGTACTTGGAAACCAGCTTTAAAAAAATTATATTATGATACATAAATGCATGCAGCGTTGTATTCATTAATATATTTCTGCCTGAAGTTTTAATGTCGGTTTTAATGTCCTTCCTTTATGTACTTTCAGGGTGCATTAAACCAGTATCTAAAGCGGTTGGAAGATGAGAAGAGTTTAATAGAAAATCAATTAAAAGATTTTGAACTTCGAATAGAACAAGAAGCGAAGGTATTTCAGAGAGATGTGTACAATGTGCTACAGAAACTGGTGTACAACAATTTGTTGAAGACTGCTCCATTTACAAATAGAATGTCAAATGGGCAAAAGATGGTTTGAAAAAAGTGAATTTCATACCACAGTACTTGGTGTCATTCTGGACTCCAACCTATCCTTCCAGCCCCAAGTCCAATCTTTAACAAACTCATGCAGACTCCACCTCCGCAACATCGCCAAAATCTGCACGTTCCTAACCCCAGAAACCACTAAACAGCTCATCCACTTCCTCATCATATCACGACTCGATTACTGCAACTGCCTCCTCACTGGCCTGCCTCGCCGCTGGCTATCCCGCTTCAATCGATCCTGAATACGGCAGCCAGACTCATTCACCTTTCCAACCGCTCCATTTACGCCACCCCCGTCTGCCAATCCCTCCACTGGCTTCCGATTGCGCAACGGATCAAATTCAAAATCCTAACACTGACGTACAAAGCCTGTCCACCATACTGCCCCGAACTACGTCACTGACCTAATATCCAAGTACCGCCCCAGCACGCACACTCCGCTCCTCACAAGACCTCCTTCTATCTAGTTCCCTGGTCTCCTCCTCCCATGCCCGCCTCCAGGACTTCTCCAGGGTGTCACAGCCATCCTCTAGAACTCCCTGCCCCAATCCATCAGATTATCACCTACTCTCCTCTCCTTTAGGCACACCCTGAAAACCCATCTCTTCAGGGAAGCCTACCCCACCCCCTGCTAACTTGCCGACCTCCTCCACTCTTCCTACCACTCCATCCCCCACAACTATCTCCTCCTGTACCACCATCCCCTCCCTCCTAGATTGTAAGCTCGAAAGAGCAGGGCCCTCGATCCCCTCATGTTTTGCATTTATATTGTATTGTTATTGTTCTGTCCCCCATTGTAATGTACAGCGCTGAGCGAACTATTGGCGCTTTATAAATACTGTATAATAATAATAATAATACCCTCAATTCTACAGCACGTGTTGTAAACCTGTTGTTAGTTTATAGAGTCTAACCTGGAAACATAAATGTAATGAAAACACCTAGAGGAGCCACCTATACCTGTTGATTTCCTCCTTGGAGCCCAGAACCTGCTAGTTCTCATTTATACAAATCTTGGGCCGGATTCACACTGTTCCTTTGTGGTCATGCACACAGATTAGCACACAATGTGAGTAAATGAATGTTAAAGCAGGCCATTTGTTTTGAATGGGCTGCTAGCGCACTCCATCACAAGCAAATCCACACAGACCCTTTTTACTTCCATTCATTAAAGCAAACAGTGAGGATCTTAATCACTGTATTATGGTGGTAGTAGGTTTAAAAAAAACAGTCTAGGGGGCAGACCCTGCTGGTTGCCAGCCCCCATCTGCTAACATAGCCTAGTTTTTTTGCTTAGCATCAAGTGTCATTTATTTTTATTATTGTTGTTATTATTATACATGTTTTATACATATAGCGCACAGTTTGCCCAGTGTTTTACAACATATAGGCAAACAGTAGTTACAATACAATTCAATACAGGAGGAATCGGAGGGCACTACTTGTTAGAGCTTATCTACAAGGAAGGGAGCAGTTAAAGCTGAACTCTTGGCAAATGTTTTTTTTTTTTTTCCGTGCAGTGGGGCTGTGCCCACAAGGCACAAGTTAACTGTTCATTTTATTCTAGGGAAGAGGACAGCAAAGATATACTTGCTGTACCTGATCCTTCCCCACACAAAACCGGTCCAGCACCCCCGCACTCCAGCAGTCTTGAAAATGGGCTGTTCCTGATGTCATAACGCACAGAGCATGCTCCATAAACAAGGACAGTCCACCACTGGACATGGTGGAGTGTGGTTTTCCAGAGGATCAAAGGATCAGCTGAGTTTAAACTAAGTGCTCCCCCTTAGAAGAAACAAGCAGTTCACCCATTCATTTTGAGCACAGCCCAACCGCATGGGAAAAAAATTGCCCAGAGTTTGGCTTTAAGAATCTACAGTTCCCTATACTTTGAGAAGCCTGGAGCCTCCTGTTGTTATCATGGTTCATTCTGTGAGCATGATGAGTATGCACTGGACCTTCCATCACCAATCATTGGCCTCTTGGGTTTGTAGGGCTTCTGCTAGGTCTTCAGCTCATATGCTTTATAAGGTTGATGTTTTTGCTTCTGTGGATGCCAATTTTGGACATAAGGTCTTACAGGCAGCAGTGTAACATTTTTGCCTTTGACTTTTCCCATGTGTTTTTCTGTTTAATTATGACCCACCCCTCTGTAAATCGTATGTACTCTCCAGCGCCTCAGGATATGCACAGCCAAAAGGGAAGCCAAGGATACCAGGACAGCGACAACCAAAGGAAATGCTTCAGGGGTGCAGCCCTCCTCAGACAGGGAAATCAGCCACTGGATAAAGAGAAAAACAGGTGGCGCACACACCTAGTGCATTATCCAAGGTTTATTGTAAGGAGTGAAAGAATAAAAAAAAAAATAAAAACATACTCACAGACGAAGCATGTATCTAAAAAGCATAGAAAAATGACAACGGCCACAACGGCAGGCAAGGTGTTCTCACTGTCAGTGCGGTCAAATGGCTGATGCGTTTCGGGGATGAATCCCTTTCCTCAGAGCTGATGACCAGCCTCTGATGCAGATGTGTGATGAATGGAAAATGGGAGCCTTGCTGGTGATGCCTGTGAGTAATGTTTGTTTTTATTATTCTTTCACTCCTTACAATAAACCTTGGATAATGCACTAGGTGTGTGCGCCACCTGTTTTCTCTTCACCCCTCTGTAAACACTGGTTGTGACCTTTAAGTGGTCAAGATCTAAGATCTGCACTGTGTCCCTCAACACTGGTTGTGACCTTTAAGTGGTCAAGATCTAAGATCTGCACTGTGTCCCTCAACACTGGTTGTGACCTTTAAGTGGTCAAGATCTAAGATCTGCACTGTATCCCTCAACACTGGTTGTGACCTTTAAGTGGTCAAGATCTCTGCAAGATCCGCACTGTGTCCCTCAATGAACGGAAGAGGAAGTAAAAGATAAAACACTTTTATTGGTATATTAGTAAGTGGGGTTACATACAGTATACATTAATAGCATTATGTCTTGTTGGGTTTTTTTATTTATTTTATTTTTTATTTTTTTATCAAAGTAAGGAGCACAGGTAATAAATGTCAACAAATCAAGATAAGCTGGCAGACACCAAGAGGTACCATTTATGTCTGACCTTCTTCAGTCACCTCTCTCCAGTTCTCTGTACCTGTGAACAGAGTTGCTCTTTAAGTTAAGAAAAGTAGCAATGTGTTGTAATTAATGTATACTTCTGGTTTTATCTTAACTTTAATCTTCCTGACAGGTCAGTTTTAATGTGAATGTGTGACCAAAGAGTTGCACCAGTGAATAAATAATATATTAAGAGAGATGGATTGAAGCTGACATCCAGTCTGGTGAAGAGCTAGCTTCTTCACATTAAGTACATTACCCTTATCTGGCAGACTAGAATTAAAGAAACGTGTGATCAGCTCTATAGAGTGTTAATTGATGCTCCTATAGTGAGGAGATGTATGATGAAGTGCCTCTGCATTATAAGGATGCTGTGAGAAGTAGCCCAGGAGCTGAGCTCATCATTGACATAATACAACAGTTGTGTTTGCAAAAAAATTAAATGCCAGAACATTTTATTATTCTCCTGAAAGGCATGAAAACTGCAGCATAGATAGAGGGAACAATGGGCAATCTGTCATAAAAATTCCAACCTATTATCCAATTAAGATGAAAGGTGTTCACTGGAGATTTAATACTAATAAAGAGACTCCCAAACCACATGTTTGAGTCATATCTTGTGTAGCAAGAACGAGCATTCCCACTCATGATTTTTTTAAACGTGATTTCCCCGCATATCCGCATGTCATGCATAGGGCAACTCATTCATTTCAATGGACTGCCCTATGCATATTTGCTACCCAAAAGACGTTGCTGCTTCTTTTTGGGCAATGAACTTTGCTTGATTTTTAAAGGTGCATTTTGGCAGTTTCATTCACACAGCCGTAATACATTCATAAAAATTTACTGAACGTTAAAGTATAAGTAAAGGCAAAACTTTTTTTTCATTTTGGAAAGAGTAAGGGAGGGTTATAACCCCATCAGGTTTTTTTTGCCATCTGTGTCCCATAGGTAAGATTTACCTTCACTCAAAGACGAGGCAGGAGATGACATCAGGAAGCCACTTCCAAAGAGTCAAGCTGTGCAAATACTTTTAGGCCCATCTCTGGCAGGTAGACAAGGAATGAGGAACTATACTTGTTCTTCTGTGAGATAAACATGGTGATCTGCTCTATTGAGTCTACAGCCAGTATCCTCCCTCATAGTGTGTACAAAACAGATGATTCATAATCTGGTGGCAGATGAAGATATTCTCTCACTCCAGCTCTTGCTTTTCTGACTGTTAGGAAGTTTAGAACTTTTTTTTTTGCCTTACCAAGCACATCTTATCTGATTGGCCAAGATGCCTTTATTGTACCTACATTGCCATCAGAGATGACTACAGTAGAGGCAGAACTTCTTGTAGTTGAATGAGTAGAACTGGTAAGTCATTATCTCAATATCTATTCATGCCATTTACAGCAATCATGTTAATCATGTTTACACATTACTGTTCCTCGTGGTAATTTGCACAAGGCATCGCCATTTATAAATAAGTCATAAGCAATAATTATTGCCATAATAGGCTCAGTTCACTAAGATGGATGAGTTATTTTAATTATGTTTGATAACTTAGCAGTGCAGTTGGAGATCAGTCATTTGAGATGTGTAAGTAGTGGCCTCTGATGGTGTATGCAGTGGAACTGTAAGTGACTTGATTTACATTTTTAAATACAGTAATTCTTTTTTTTTTTTTTGTAAATTCTTTATTTTAACAACAGCACACGGTATCAGTTCAGAGGCCAAAGAGAAAAAACAAAATTATTTACATCTCCATAACAAAGACCCATACATAGGAACAGAAAGATACAATAATTCTTTGGATTGAGCAATACCCGTAACGTAAATTTCTAGAGGTCTTTGGACAAGGTTTGTATGGCGTAGAGGGAGAGAGGTTTCCCTTAACTGATCTTGGCAACAGCAGGACAAATCAAGTTGGGTTCTCTGGACTAAAAAAGTTAAAGCGGTATTAAACCCAAAACCAAGAATGTAATTACCAATCATTAGATGTGGTGGCTGCATTAGTTTTTTTTTTTTTGTTTTTTTTTTAGGCATTTCCCCTGTTTTTACCTAGTGATCTGGCCAGTAACTCACCTCCTGTATTAGACTGCAACCACTCTGGATGAAAGAGCACACGGGTCACCTTTTCACAGCAGCATTGTCTGTCTGGAGCAGAGGAGTGTTATATCTGCAACACATTTTTTTTTTATTTTGGGGAAATGGTTTTACATCAATAAATAAAAGCTGAGCATTGTAATCCAATGTAATGTTTACTTTTCTTTGTCAGATTAGTATGAAATTTATCATGTATAGGGGGATAGGCGTCTTACTCCAAACCAAGCCATTCCTATATTTTGGTCACACCACAAAACATCACAGAACCACTGGAATACCAATGCAGCCTACAGCTGGGTATACACACATAGTAAGTGTTTTCATTAAACCAGTGGGTAGAATGAAAAAACTGACAGATCCTTACATCAACACAACATATACTGCGGAGTTATTGTATTCTGACAGGGGGCCTCTGCCCCCCCCTTGCCAGAATACACTGATCAGCACTTTCGGCCACTGGCTGCAAGTGCTGATAGAATGCTGGTTTTCCAGCATGACCATTCCACAGAAACCAACATGTTGCTTGTTAGCTCATATGAAGGCAGGAAAACAAATGGGCCCTGAGTACTACCCCTCTCTCTCTCTGTCAAAGTGCTGCTAGGCAGAGAATTGCAGGAGTCTAAAATGAAATCAAAATCAAATAGTTATACTAGTTGCATTGAAATTGCATTTCATTTGTAATTAACACATTACTGCATTAATATTTTTTTTTTTTTTTTTAATCTGCCAGGAATTTAGCTTAGGGTGGATATAGAAGAGACTGCTGATGACAAATCTAAATCTGCAATTTGCTGGAATTCTTGTGCATCAGCATGGGTGCATCCATAATGAATGGCAGCGCATCAGCATGCATAACATTTGTTAGCATGCATTTCTATAAGCAAAACCTTGGACAGAGGGGTGGCGGTGGACATGGTATACTTGGACAGAGGGGTGGCGGTGGACATGGTATACTTGGACAGAGGGGTGGCGGTGGACGTGGTATACTTGGACAGAGGGGTGGCGGTGGACGTGGTATACTTGGACAGAGGGGTGGCGGTGAATGTGGTATACTTGGATTTTGCAAAAGCATTTGACACAGTTCCCCACACACAGCTAATGTGTAAGGTAAAGTCTACAGGCTTGAAAAATCTGTATGTAAATGGATAGAAAACTGGGTAAATGATCGTATTCAGAGAGTAGTGGTTAATGATTCATACTCTGAATGGTCTAGGGTTGTCAGTGGTGTACCCCAAGGATCAGTGTTGGGACCCTTACTTTTTAATACATTTTTTAATAATAATAGTCTTTTGCAGATGACACCAAGCTGTGCCGTGGAATAATGTCCTTACAGGATGTCTCCAATTTACAAGCCAACCTCAATGCACTGTTTAATTGGGCAACTATGTGGCAAATGAGGTTTAATGCTGATAAATGTAAGGTTATGCACTTGGGGGCTAAGAATATGCATGCATCATACATACTGGGGGGGGGGGGAACAACTGGGGGAATCAATGGTGGAGAAGGATCTGGGAGCTCTGGTAGATCACAAGCTTAATAATGGCATGCAATGCCAAGCTGCAGTTTCTAAAGCGAGCAAAATCCTCTCTTGTAGTAAAAGAGGTATAGACTCCAGAGAGAGAGATATCATATCACCCCTGTACAAATCATTAGTAAGACCTCATCTGGAATATGCAGTTCAGTTTTGGACACCAATTCACAAAAAGAACATTGGGGAACTGGAGAAAGTGCAGAGAAGGATAACAAACTGATAAGAGGCATGGAGGAGATCAACTATGAGGAAATATTAGAGGAACGGAGTTTATTCTCTCTTGAGAAGAGGAGATTAAGGGGGGGATGTGATCAACTTGTATAAATACATCAGTGGTTCATATAGTGAACTCGGTGTAGAGTTATTCACCCTGAGGTCATCACAGAGGACAAGGGAGCACTCTTTATGTCTGAAGGAAAAGAGATTTAATCTCCAAACACGGAAAGGTTTCTTCACAGTGAGAGCTGTGAAAATGTGGAATAGACTCCCTCAAGAGTTGGTTCTGGCCAGCTCAGTGGATTGCTTTAAAAAAGATCTGGATTCTTTCTTAGATACACAGAATATAACTGGATACTAACATTTATAGGTAAGGTTAATCCAGGGAATATCCAATTGCCTCTCGGGGGATCAGGAAGGAATTTGTTTCCCAGCAGGAGCAAATTGGATCATGCTTTGCTGTTTTTTTTTTTTGCCTTCCTCTGGATCAACTGTGGGTATAGGATTATAACTTTTTTTTTTATGGTTGAACTGGATGGACTTTTGTCTTTTTTCAGCCAGAATAACTATGTAACAGTAAAATCTTTAATTGGATGTTTCTACAACACCATGCAACTGGATTCTGTTCTTTAATTTTTTTTTTATCCACTGCCTCTAGGTGGGGCTGAATTACTTGATGCAGAATACTTAATAGTTGGAAATGCACCTCTATTGTCACATGACCATTCAGATAATAAAGGTACGGGCAACAATAGGGATTTAGTGGGCAATATATCTGCTAAACAAGAATTATCCCAAGTTGAAATCTCTGGCCTCCTAGCAGGCAGGCGGTGTCAGCTGGACCTTTTCATGTCTAACTGGAGGACAACATTAAAGTGTAAACCCTCACCTTGTAAGACAACTCATTCAGTTTAAAATAGAAATGAAAGGCAAAATATTTCTGTATAGATATAAATAAAACATTCTAAACACTTTTTTCCCTTTTTTATAAATGATCACATTCCCTCTGTTCTCAGCTGCTTAAGAGCTTGGGGAGAAAAAACGGCAGAACACTGATCTTCCCAGTGAATGGCTGCGCAGGGAAGAGGGGGTGTCAGGACAAGTCTGATCATCAGAGGAGAGCAGGCTGAGTTCCCAACACAGCTAGAAAGCTGACACCAGTGTGTTTTCCTGCTTAGTGTGGTCAGTTCTTTGATAGGAAAGCAGAGGGACTGACCGGAACACCAGGGATTTCACACAAAGGAAGTAACACATGAGAACAGGATACTTTTTCATACAAGTTCATGGTACAGCAGATACATATCAAGAATATGATATTTTGGGTTTACATCTTATTTTCTGTTTTCATTGCAGGCATACTACAAAGTTATTGATGAAAGAAGAATATATGCTTCAGAGATTTCCCAGGTTTGGATATTTTGCCTAAATTATCATATGTATATTATAAAACATATTGAATAGGATTGCTGCCTTTTATTCTTTTTGCGACCAGGGTCCATGCATAGTGTCAGATTTTGCAGTGTCAGTATGTGCCAGTTAAAGTGTATCTAAACCTCGATCAAAAATGCTATATATTGCAGCTTGCCAGTCCAATGTTGTGGCTGCATTCGTTTTTTTTCTCAGGCTTTTTTTCCTTTATTTTTACCTGGTGACACAGCTGATCCTGACAGTAATTACACTTTCTGTCCTAGTGAGACAACACCCACTCTCAGTACACGTTACTCATCTATTGAGGGGCAATATAGTACCCTGGGACCACAGAACACCTCCCTCTCTTCATTACGTAGGATGAGTTCTGTAGTTCACAGAGATAACAAGGGCAGAGCTGGTAAGACGTTTTGGATTTTTGAGCACCAGAGGAACCGTGTTGTCAGATTATTACAGTAAGTTAAAAGCTCACTGGGTTTCTGGAATTTTTGCCAATCACAACTGTCACGTAAGACAGAAGCTGCTCTGCCTCATGGGCATTAAAGTGATATTAAAGGCAATTAAAAAAAAATAACAAACATGCAATACTTGTCTGACATCTTCTTCTCAGGTCCTCCACTGGCGCTCCTGACCCCTCCCTCCTGCCAAGTGCCCCCCAGAGCAAGCAGCTTGCTTTGGGGGCAACCAAGCAGGCTTGCTCCCGATCTGCATGTCCATTCACACACAAAGCTGTGGCTAGATCGCTCCCCCTCTCTGTCCTCATTGGCTCACTGGCTATGATTGGCAGTAGTGGGAGTCAATGGCTCTCACTGCTGTCTCAGCCAATGAGGAGGGTGAGTCATTGGAGAGCCAAGGCTCTCGTACACATCACTGGATCATGTTTGGGCTCAGTTAAGTATTAGGGGATGCTGGGGGGGCTGCTGCACACAGAAGGTTTTTTTAGCCTTTAAAACCACTTTAAAGCCCACTGAAAGGGCAGCTGAGAGTCAACAGGGTTAACAGACCAAAATCTGGCAAAAGAAAAGTTAATTGTTGAAGTTTATATACACTTTAACTTGACCATAATTGCCCTTCCCCCCCCCCCACACCTTTTTAAATACCTTCTATTTAGTACATTGTACATAGAATGACCGTGGAGCACCCCTGCTGGACACTGATAAGGACAGATACTACACTTGATCTTAGCCAAAAGGCCGAGAAGGGCTTTCCAGTGTCTTACACAGGGCTGATTGGTGGAGATTTCTCGTTTCTCCTGGGCGGGCTTACTGATGAATCTGCTTAGCGCGGCTCGTCGGTGCCACACGGGGAGACTTCCGTTGTTAGCAGAGAAACCTTCTGAATCGGTGCTTTATGGAAACCTGCAAGCTTGGAATGAAAAAAGGGTCTGCTGATCATTCTTAGGATTTACAGAAAAACAAACCTGCCGGAAATAATCGTGCAAGCAGTCGTCTTCCTAGTACAACTAAGTTTCTGCAGAAAGATATCAGAGGGCCACAATGAGTTACATGTGGGTAAGTTGGCTGCATTGCGGTACCTACCAGTGGAAGTGCAATCTTTTTTGCTGTGTGTGAAGCACCATTGATGAAAGAGTCTCTGGAGATCGTATAGTGAGGAGATATTACCTGTGAAGGATCCAGGTGTGATCCGAAAGGCGCATTGGCCGTTGGGTCAGTTTAAGGAGGTGAGGGGGCATTTTAGCCATTGAAGGATATATATCGGCTTGTCTGCACATGTACCATACCACCTGCATGTCCTGAAATATCGTAGCACCTTTTTGCAAATATTTGCACTTTATTGGACATTTCTTTAATTTTAAGGTAATTGCTCACCATTTTGTATTTTAATAAGTTTTTTATCACATGATTTATTGTTGTGAATTGTACAGTTTTATGTGCTTATTGTTTTTTTAGGGTCAAGCACTTTTCACTTTGTTATATAATTATCCCACATTTGGGATTCACTGTGTAAGACACTTGATGTATGTTTATAACCCGCATTTCTGGGATTGGGGTGTTTTATTGCTCTACTTTTTATTTCACCATACATTGGTTCCAATTTAGGACCATATTGATGGATTCACAATATTCACCTAGTTTATGTGGCACATATGTTTAGATCCCTTTATTTTAATTTTATTAGTACAGAGTTGTAGCTAGGATATTTTGCGCCCGGGACAAAAATGTAAAATTGGCGCCCCAGCCCCCCTCCCCGTTTAATCACATCAGTGATACCAATGATGGGGCACTGTTCCTCCCACTGACACCAATGACACTTACCTTGCTGACCCCTGCTCCAGCCTAGGCTCCTTCCCTCTCCCATCCACAGCCAGCATACCTGGTTGCAGCAGCACCATCTGCACGGCACACTTACCGGTCAGCTGTCTTCTTCACTTGCTCCGGCCGCTTCCTCACTCAATCTTTGCGCTGCCGCTCGGCTCCTCCTCTTCAAACTCCACCTCCTCGCAGGTAATTGGCCACCTGTGTGCCTTACAGTCCTGAGCTACAGTTCCGGCGCCCAATCACCGGTGAGGAGGCAGAGCTTGCAGAGGGAGGTACAAGCTGCCATAGGCTGTCCAGTGATCCCGAGGGTGTGGCCAGATGACAGGGGCGGCATGTCATCCTGCCCACCGGACCTGCGGACCTCTCTACCCCTCCTCCAGCAGTGCCTCCTGGACTGGATCGTCGTGGGACGGGGGCACGGAGCCTGGTAAGACACAGCAGCCCGCTTCCTGCCCCTGTACTAAGTGTCCCTTCCGTTTGCAAATACGCCCCTTGTTGTAAGCCTCATTTTGGCGCCCCTGTACCTTGGTGCCCGGGTAAATATGTTCCCCCTGCCCCCCCCAGCTACGCCTCTGTATGTATATATGTTCATTTTTTGCAGCAATATATTTAATTTAGTATTTTCGTATATACACCTATAGGTATAAGGTGGGGGTGTTAGCAGCTTCTTAATATTGATAGTCCCATATAAAGCACAGGGGGATTATCGCTTTCTGCTGTTTCCAGTGTGACGTGCCAGTAGACTGAAATGTCTTGTGTGCAGTTCAGTACGCCCTCGCATCATCCTATTACGACGCATCAACCACATCACATTAACATGTATTTTCCATCCGGTTCTCTAAGGAATTGTGAAAACCTCTTCTGAGAAACCTAACTGAAAAGAGCGGGCCATCAAATCCAGGGGGCTCTGAAATGTTCATGGCCTCCGTTAGTGATTAATCTATGAATGCTATGCATATGTCTAATGTCTAAGGTGATTGCTTTCATACATGTAGTGATTTGTGATTGCTTTACCTACAAGGTGGTCATACATGTAGTGATTTGTGATTGCTTTACCTACAAGGTGGTCACACATGTAGTGATTTGTGATTGCTTTACCTACATGGTGGTCATACATGTAGTGATTTGTGATTGCTTTACCTACAAGGTGGTCATACATGTAGTGATTTGTGATTGCTTTACCTACAATGGTGGTCATACATGTAGTGATTTGTGATTGCTTTACCTACAAGGTGGTCATACATGTAGTGATTTGTGATTGCTTTACCTACAAGGTGGTCATACATGTAGTGATTTGTGATTGCTTTACCTACAAGGTGGTCATACATGTAGTGATTTGTGATTGCTTTACCTACAAGGTGGTCATACATGTAGTGATTTGTGATTGCTTTACCTACAAGGTGGTCATATATGTAGTGATTTGTGATTGCTTTAACTACAAGGTGGTCATACATGTAGTGATTTGTGATTGCTTTACCTACAAGTACAATAATGATTCAAAAATACATGTTGAAAATATGATCTAAATTTAAATGATTATTGTATTGTCAAAATAACCATTTAATTGATGTGAACTACGATCGACTCTCCAACACACATGCAGATATATGTTTGATCAATCAGAAGCAATCGACAGAATTCTGCCATGACAGATGGACAAGGTTATCCAGTGCCAAGAATGAAGATGTGAAACTGTGAAGCTGCCCCCCCCCCCATCCCTTCCAGGTGGGGCAGGGTACAGGGTTAAACCTAGCTTACCATAGCTCCGTAATGTATGTAACATATGAGTTTAATAGCAGTTCACATTCTGTCCTGCAGGAAACTATGGGGCAAACACTATTGAAAAAAGAAATGCATCAGCATCAGAAAAAAATGTCCCTGCATCGGCTGTGCCACTGGAAGTAAAACGACACCTGCATCGGTGGTGTCACTGGAAGGAAAATTGTCCCTGTGATGGTGGCATCACTAGGAAGGAGAAAATGATCCTACATTGATGGTTTCGCTAAAAGCAAAAAATGCCCCTGCATCACTGGTGTCACTGGAAGGAAAAAACACTACCTGTACCAGTGGTATCACTGTAAGGGAAAAAAAGCCTCTGCATTGGTGGTGTCACTAAAAGGGAAAAAATGCCCCTGCGTCATTGGTGTCACTGGAAGGAAAAACTATCCTTGTGTCAGTGGTGTCACTGGAAAGATAAAAAAGCCTGCATTGGTGGTGTCACTAAAAGGAAAAAAATGCCCTTGGATGTTCACGCTTTGTATTGGCTTTTGCACATTACTAGATGCTTGAGGCTGTGATAGTGTTAATTCTACAAGTGTTAACGAGTTGTGATCTCCATATCACACTGGAAATACCCAACACTAACATCCCAGAACAACTGTCACTGCACATAACATGCAGAGGAACAAAGTGCGGCATTATACAACAGTACCATTCCCTGGTATATTCCGAAGTTTTAATGCACTTCGCTTTACTAGAAAGCTTACTTTTATCATTTTATCATTTTCTACACAATGATGATCAAAGTGAGAGACTGCAGGAACACTGAGCTTATTATTGGGGCAAGATAAAACATTTTTGGATGAACAAGTATGTACAGTACAGAACCCCAATTTACTGGGACTGTTTAAGGTGCTTGTAGTCGTATTAGTGCACTTGTGGCAGGAATAATTGAGTACTGTCCGTGATACTTTTTTTATT